GGCAGACTTGTAATTTTCCTCATTGAATCTGATGGTTTTCACCGTGCATTAAAGTACCAAGGCTCCCTTTGATAGTGTAAGAGGCTAAGAGCATTTTTTTTGTGACTTAATAGTAAGCTGCAAAATAAATGTCTTAATATGGCTTCATAGTTTATGCAATTTTTTTTTTTTCCTGTAAATGTCTGACTTAGCAGAAAATATCCTTGTGGAAGGAGAAATCTAATGAATGGATGCTATTGTAGAAACTTTGCTTGCTAAATGTTGGCATATAATTTTTTTACTAACATCTAAGTCCATGCTTCTCATATTTTATGTTTTTTTTGATGTTCTTTAATGATATATCAGGTTCCTTTTGCTATGTTTGGAGGTTCTGGGAATTATGCATCTGCTTTATATCTTTCTGCTGCTAAAGCCAATGCTTTGGACAAGGTTGAGTCTGAGCTTTTTGACCTTATTGAGGCTACTAAGAAATCTCCAAGGTTTTCTCAGTTTACAAAGGATATCTCTGTATCTTCAGATGTAAGAATTAAGGCTATGAGTGACATATGCGCTCAAGCGAAATTCACAGATATTACAAGGAACTTTTTGGGTACATCTCTTTGACTTAGTTTGTGATTTGAGCTGTAAGGTTTTCTCTTTGCATGTAATATGAGATGCTTCTCCTCTTTGGCTAAGTCAATATGTGAAATAAAATTCTGGCTTCATCTCTAATTATTAGGCTGTATCAAATTGAGAATCACCTATAAGACCTCCAGTAAAAATGTCTTATATGTCCTATATGAATAGCAACAGCCTAAATAGAACTTTGGCCTACCTTAGCGGCAGAGGGAACATCTTTGTGTAACAAATAAACACTATTTGCTAGTTTCGTTTTGGTCTTGGAGATGCTTGTTCAAAACTTTGTCACTAACCCACTGAATCTTTAGCCAAACTTGTTACTTCTTGTTCATCTGGGTTGGGCGGATGGATTTTATTGTTGGCATATGTCACTGTGGTTGCTACCTTATCTCCATCTCTATGAGGCGAAAGTCAGTTCTGCGAGGTTGCTTATCAGTTATGAGATGAGAGTCATTCATTGTGGAGCAGGCTCTATACAAGGTCTGATGTAAATGTGCTCTAAGCCTTTGGCTGGTGGGATTCATAATCCTTGCACGTTAGGCAAATCATAATTGCGTACTTTTTATGAGTTCTATATCATATGTGATACTTAAATGTTATTGTGTGAGATAATAATTTTTTGAAATCCTTTTTTGTTGGATCCCTTTTTCAATCATGTTTTATCTTTTGTTGTGAAAAAATTAATGTTTCTCTTCACTTCAATTAGTTATTATGGCCGAGTATGGAAGGCTAAAGCACATAGAGTCCATTGCAAAGAGATTCTCAGAATTGACTATGGCACACAGGGGAGAGCTGAAAGCAATTGTAACAACTGTCATTGTATGTATCTTTATCCTTGTTTTCTCTTTTTAACTTAAAAGTACAAGAACACTAACTTGTATAGTATATCTATGATAATACTCTCTTGTTCTTTGTCTTGGTTTCTTTGTCCAGCCTCTTCCTCCTGCTGAGGAGAAAGAACTGAAGGAAACTCTACAGGAAATACTTGGGCAGGGAAAGAAAGTTCAGCTTGAACAGAAGGTAAGTTTATATGTCTATACCTCCTCATGTCTTTTTTCATTTTTCTTTATGTTTTTGACTATTTGCCAAACTGAACCATTGAGTTTGCTTTATTATAGTTGAGTATTAATTTACTGCAGTCTCTTGAAAAATGTTAGTGTACTTGTTGATCTGATTTTTGAACTCCCATCGCTGTTACAGATTGACCCTAGCATTCTTGGTGGTCTAGTTGTTGAATTTGGGCAAAAAGTTTTTGATATGTCCATCAAGACCAGGGCAAAACAGATGGAGAGGTTTTTACGAGAACCAGTCAATCATTAAGTGCCCCTTGAAGTCTTATTCTTACAGAGCAACTTTTAGATTTCCCTTTGTGATAATGGCTATGGTGCAGCATAAGATGAAAAGGCTTGACTTTGTCTCTTTTGGCTCAAAATTGTTCAGGCCAACTTTTTTATATTTTTCACTTGACGTGATCTGATGCACAAAATAAAAATCAAAGGTCTTGTGGTTGGCATTTTCAACCAGCCAAAGTAAACTGACTTGTTAAACTATATATTCTTGTAATTTTGTTCAATTCCATGCAATTATAATGTTAATCAGTTAATCACTGTGAGTCAGTCATTTTCTTGGAATGAAATTTTGTGATGCTTTGTGCTTAGATATATGGTTGAGCTGTCTATAGCTGAATTCGCCCCTGAATCCCTGATGTAGATTGGAGGGTTCCTAGTTTAACTGTGATGATGGACAGTGCAAGTGATTTATCCGGATATACTATGCACAATGCTTTGTAGATTGGCAGGGACTAGGAATGTGATTAGCAGACAGCGTAACATAGCAAAAGTGCTCAAGCTATAAATGAAGTTTTGACACAATTATACATTAGCCTTGCTCACAAACACTACTACTATGTAGTAATAATTTTCAATGCATAATATATGAGCAATATTCAACGTGAATCCTTATAAAGTACGAGTAGCAATTTCATAGGTATAAATGAAGTTTTGACACAATTATACATTAGCCTTGCTCACAAACACTACTACTATGTAGTAATAATCTTCAATGCATAATATATGAGTAATATTCAACGTGAATCTTTATTAAGTACGAGTAGCAATTTCATAGTATGTGCTGTTCTCAGGGAAGGTGGAAATGAGGAAAATTTAATAAGGTTATAGAAGTATAGAACCATTTAATTTTAGAAAAATTGATACTAATAATTTCAATTTTGCTCCATTTTCTTGTAATAATCCTACTTTTGGATTATTTTGGAATAATTCCAACTTTAGAGGTAGTTTTCTTTCTTCAATCCGAATGATCGGTGATTGATAAATGGAATTTTATTTTAAATAACACGTGTCGCAAGTTAATTAGTTTAATTTTTTTTTGAAAAACTAAAACAAAATTAAAATGATTATCTATAACTAAAATTTAAATTTTAAAATCAAATTTAATTAAAAAACACTTTTTTTTTAGAAATAGGGGATATGTGACTCGGTGACTGGGCTCCCAGTCACGTCACTGCTGTTGCAGCAACCAGACACGTAGCCCAATCACTACAGTAGCCTGGCGCTATTACCACGTCAGCCAGCACTACAGGCCAGCGACCTTAACCATGCACCTCTTGCATGCTCTAGTCACCACCCCTTCTTCTCGAAACTCTTGCACCCCTCTAGCCACCACTTGAAACTCCCTTTAAGCCACCTCCTCCACTCCCGAAAACCCCCAAACACTCCTCCCCCACCATCAAAAACCCTAGCCGCCAGGGTTTTGGGGTGGGGGGAGGGGCAATTTGGGGTTTTTGGGTGTGGGGGAGGGATTTCCCTGGTGGTTGCGTGGGGGAATGGGAGGGGGTTTCGGGTAGGGGGGAAACGGCGACGCTGCTGCGTGGCGGGTCGGCGAGTGAGGGCGGCGGGCTAGGAAATGGGGGTGGAGGTTATGGTGGACTTGTGGGGAAAGGGAGGGGGCTGGTGTTTTCTTTTTTTTCAATTTTTTTTTTTTTGGACCAATCAGGACTTAACACGTGTCAAGTAACCTGATATAATAAGTCATTGACTTTTGTTTACCGGTTTGGGATTGAAGAATGAAATCAGTCCCCAAAATTGGGATTATTCCAGAATAATTCAAAGTTGAATCCAAAATTGGGATTATTAAAAGAAAATGGAGCAAAATTGGGATTATTAATATCTATTTTTCCTTTAATTTTCAATTTTAATTATGTGATTCTTAAAGTTGTATGAACTTAGTACTAATTAATTTATACTAAATTACTAATCAATTTAATTTGAAGTTAACAATAGAAAAAAAAAATACTTTATGCCTCAATAGTATCTAATACGATAGTATATAGCTGATATATTGTTTACTACAAGAGAGAAGCGATGCATTTTAATTGAACTTTTCATTTATAGAGAGTAATGCATCTAATAAAAAACGATGGGCCGTAATCACTTTATAATTTCTAAGTACCCGGTTTTATTAATAAAGCATCTTAATTATTAAGTCTAAGTAAAAAAGGACAGTGATTGTTGCTATGCAAGACAATTTGTATTTTGTTATGAAGTAACTTCATTAACTTTATGGTTTCGAATATCTAACGTTATAAGTAGTTATTAAACATCTTTGAATCATGATATACAAGACATTGGATATAAATAATTCCTTGTATACAAACAATGCAACCCCAACAAAGATTTCATAATAAACTAGTTTTTAGGTCCAGGCGATACCCTGAGGTAATATTTAAAATGAATGTTTAGTTATTTATATCTTACATTAATAAGATAACATCAATTATTAAATGATTTAGTGCGTGGTTATGTATGACATGGAATATAACACCTGAAGGGAGAGTGCCACGTGACATATAGACTTGTTTAGTAATACTTTTAATAGATTAGTATAGATATATATAATTTCGATCAATATTTAGAAACTAATATAAAAGAAACGGACTCTCTTATACAACATGTTTAAACATTACTCGTATAATATTTAAAACAAGGCAGAAGTCAGCTTGATTGCTAAAACCACCTTAGCGCAATACACTTGTGTTGAGCCCATGAGTAAACCCACATGTGAGTAAAAGTGGTGTCCCACATTGAAAGAGTGTAAAAGTGAAGAGGGGAATTGAGATGTGTATCCCACATTGAAGAAAAGAGAAAGTTGTGTCCACATTATACGGCTAAGGGGCTACTCCCCTCATTGCCATATGGTTTTGAGGTGGAACCTCCTTGAACTTGTATAGTGGTCACTCGTGACGGGTGTGGCCCAGACCCGCTTGTCGTGGTATCAGAGCTCAGGTTGGGTTGTGTTGTGATCTGGGCCAGCATTATGGACAACTCACATGTAAGGGGGAGTGTTGAGCCCATGAGTAAACCCATGTGTGAGTGAAAATGTTGTCCCACATTGAAAGAGTGTAAACGTGAAGAGGAGGATTGGGATGTGTATCCCACATTGGAAAAAAGAGAAAGTTGTGTCTACATTGTAAGGCTAAGGGGCTATTTTCCTCGTAGCCATATGGTTTTGAGGTGAAACCTCCTTGAACTTATATAGTGGACACTCATGACGGGTGGCCCAGGCCTGTTTGTCAACTACTGTTTGAAGGACGAAGCAAAAGTGTCACCCCCAGGAAGCTCATATGTTAGTACAGGTATGTAACCTTGTATATCAATGTTGTAGTTGAGTCCTAACGCCCATGAACTGACATGTACTGTTAGTAGCTTTGGGTCTGCAGTCTCTATCTAATCTTGTTATAATCGTTGCAAAAAAAAAAAATGTGTGCTCCCTTCCTCATATATGTTTATTTTTTCTTGCACAGTAGTTGTATCGTATTATTTGCCCTTTTTTGAAAAAAATAAAAAAATTCTTGGAGTATTAGTTTTACACATTTTTTTTTTATTTTTTTCGTTCTTTTTAATTTGACTTGATTTGACTTTTACATTATTCACACTATCTCCTTTGATCATCTTTTTTGAACTATGAGAGTGAGGGATAGCTCAAGTGGTTAGAGCTCTCTTCTCGGTTTCAGGTAATTTTGGGATCGATTCTCATCACTTGCCCTTGTGGCTCTCTGAACACCAAAAAAAAAAAAATCTTTCTTGAACTATATGTAAAGAAAAACATATTCGTGTGCGAAAAAAGGGTTGTGGTATATATAAGAACCCTCCTCTATATAAGAACCCAATCTTATATAAGAACCAATCTCAGCCGTTTATTAGTTTTGATCTAACCGTCCTAAATACAGCCATAATAATGGCATTTTTGTAATTTCATGCATTATACATACACCTCCTCTCATCTTCCTCTTTCACGTATCTTTCACTCTAATTTGTTTTCTCTCTTCTCAAACACATTTCACACTTCCCACCACTTTCTCTCTCCTAAAACCCCCAATTTTTCTCAGAAATCCACCGTAATCGCTCCTAATTGAAGAAAATTATAACGATTTTCTTCTACTTTTTGCTCAAATTCAGCTAAATTTGTTCATTAAGTTGCATAAACTAGTTGAATGGAGAAATTTAAGTAGAAATTTTGTAAATTCGAACCCTAGTTTGACGGAAATCGAAGAAAAATTGAATGGACGGAGGCAAAGAACAATAAATTCGTACACCAATTTGTTCTGAAGTGCAAAGGTAAGTTATACTCCAAGAATTTCGAAGAATTTAATTTGTTTTATGCGATGTTGATGCGATTTTTTGCTGCGATTTATGTTCGATTTTTACTGATTTTGTTCGATTTTTGTGATTTACTATTTTCATTTTCTATTTTGTTCGATTATGTGAAATTCATATGAATATTCAGGCGATTTTTTTAGCGAATTTGATGATTTTTTTGGCGAAATTATAGATTATTTTTTTTGTGTATTTTTTGCGATTATTTTTTTCAGATTTTTTGGCTGAGATTTCAGATTTTTTTTTTCGATTTTTTTGGATATATGATGTTTAAACTATGATTCGTTTGATTTTCAAATTTCGATTATATTTATTGAATATTTGAATTTAATCATGCTGAATTGGCGATGATGTATGTACTTTTTTATGCTTTATTTAGCTAAAGTTGTATTTGATTGCTCTATTCGTTCGAGTTTTCATCTTATGATTATGAATTTAGTCTCGGACTTGAGAGCTTCTGGGGACTGTTTCTTATAGCAGGACTAGCTGCACTTTTCGCTCTTGTTCTATTCCTAGTGCAGTTCATGTACAAACATTGGCATATATGGAAACAGAATAATGGTTCAATCTGGAATAGAGTTAAAGAACTTGGAAAGACATATGATGAGATAGACCGGTCATCCCCTAGCATCAAGAAAATTTAGCAGCAGCTAGAAAAGAGTTGTCATAGTTGTGAGAATCATCACAGTGATGATGCAGCTGAAAGGCTCTAGAGATGATCACTGTAACATTACTCTGTGGATACATATATACTTACAGCTAGCATAGAACATTTGAAAAATATAGAAATAACTTATAACTCTTGCAACATAGGACAGATACCTGATACTCCAACATTGCAGCTTGGCAAGCATCTTATGCACCAAGACATCATAATCAGCACCTTTCAATCTCTTAACATCCATCCCAAGATACCTAAAAGGAGTAGTCCCAGCAACAAACCCAGTTATATTCAGGATCTCTTACTACACCCTTTCCTTGACACTCCCAAAGTATATTGTTGTTTTGTCAGAATTAGCTTGAAGCCAATTTCTTTTCTCTAAAGCTTTCAAAACCCTAATCAGCAAAGCTACAGATTTCTTGTCACCATGAGCAAAGAGCATCAAGTCATCTGCAAATGTGAGATAATTAAGGGAGAGCATGCTGCATCTTTGGTGAAACTTAAACTCTCTCTTCCTTCCAATCTTTTTCAACATTCAAGTCAAATACTCCATGACAATGACAAACAGCAAAGGAGACATAGGATCACCTTGTCTGATTCCTTTCTTTCCTTGAAAAAACCCATGTAACCCACCATTTATCATAAGAGATAAAATAAGAGTAGTCACACACAGCATCACCCACTTTACAAACTTAGCAGGAAAACCTAAGGGTTCAAGCATAGCTCTGATAAACCCCCAATCTACATAATCATATGCTTACCTCAAATCTACTTTAATGGTGCATCTGGGGGGCCTTACTTTTGTCATTGTATCCTTTAAGCATATCCTGACAAACTAAGATATTGTCCACGATAGATCTCCATGCAACAAAGGTACCTTGACAAGGATCCACAAGACCAAGCAACACTTCCTTCAATCTTTCACATATCATCTTAGAAATCACTTTATAGATGACATTACAACAAGCTAATAGTCTAAATTGAGAAACTTTGCAAGCATTCTCAATCTTGGGAACCAAAGTTAAGGTTGTAACATTGATTTGCTTAAGGATTTACCTTACTAGTAGCACCATCAGCAGTACCGAGCAAACTTTTATAATAATTAAAGAAATCATCACAAATTCTGTCAGGGTCAGTAATCAAGCTATCATCATCAGCAACAGCTGAAAACACATAATTTTTAATTCTTCTCTTCCTAATTACAGCATGAAAGAAAGTAGAATCTAAATCACCTCCCTTGAGCCAATGAGCTTTAGCTTTCTGTTTTAGAAACCAATATCTTGCTTTATGAGTGTTAGCATACAACAATCTTTCCTCATTCTCCTGGGTAATAAGAAACTCATTCACAGGATCAGCTTGTAAGGCACTTTGAGCATCTCTCAACTTTACTTCAGCAGCAGCATCAGCACTCTCATTACAAGAGTAGTTCATTAAATTCAAGGATTTCATCTTCTTTTTCACCTCTCTCAGCTTACAAACTACTTTATACATAAAAGTGTCATGTACCATTGTCTGCCAAGCTTCCTGTACCCCATTTTTGTACTCAGGTGCTTCTACCCACATATTAAAGAACCTGAAAGGTTTCTTTGTCTTAAAGTCAGTGTTGACCAGCTTTACAACACATGGATAGTGATCCATTAAACCATCAGGGAAAAAAGTAGCCTGTAGGTTAGGATGTTCATCAACCCAAACCTCATTCACAAGCATTCTATCAATCTTAAAGCACACTTTATCCTTCCCTTCTTGTTTGTTGTTCCAGGTATAGTACATACCTCCTACCTTCTAATCCATCAAATTGTTATACCTCAAACAAAGCCTGAAAGATTCCACTTCTTGTAGAGTTACAAGAGTGCCAATTCTTTCATCAGTATTCAGAACATTATTGAAATCTCCCACAACAATCCAAGGGCCATTCAAATTACTACCAATGCTCTTAATTTGATCCCATAGTTTTGTTCTCTAAGCAGCCTCATTTAACCCATACCCAAGTACTAAATAAAGTATAACCAGAAGCTTTATGACATATTTTATGTATCAGTTGCACCTCCACCCTTATCACTGTCACATCAAGGACTCGAAGGAGCCAAAGCACCCAAATCCTCCCTCCATTATGTTTAACATCATTGGCCACAACCGACCAACCAGTCCCAAATCTAGCAAACACCTTCCCAAAATTCTTTGCTCTTATTTTGGTTTCAAGGATTCTAAACAAACTTATGCCTTGATCTCTCATAAACTAGAGAACATCACAAGCTCTACTAGGCATGTTTAGTCCTCTAGCATTCCAAAATCCCCAATTATCCATCAACAAATTGAGAGCACTCCCCCTCATCCAAAATACTAAACCTGTTACGAGATTTATCAGCAAACTTCATTCCCAACACACTGACCTACACTCTTTCCTCCTCATCTGCCAATTCCTTCTGCATCACTTCATTCTCATATCTCTTTTCCTATTGCTGCTCAGCATTGTGTGTTTTCTGTTGACTGGGTTTTGAACTGGTCTTCATTCCTTTCTAACGGCTTTTTTCTTCTGGTTTCTAGCTTTCACCACATGATTAGGACATTTCTTATCAGCATGGCCCATGCCACCATATTCCTTGCACACAATAGGTTTCCACTCATGCACAACCTGTTATACAACATTTTTACCTCCTTCATCCAAAAACTCAATGGTGTCAGGAAATTCACCATTCACATTTACCTGAACCATTAACCTGGCATAATAAAGTCTCTCTTTAGTTGCAGTAGCTCTATCAATTTTCATAGGCTTACCTACAAGAAAAGCAATCTTCATGAGTGCAGATTGTTCCCAAAATTCCAGATCCAAGTCAGGCATTCTGATCTATATTGGCACTTTAGTTATAGAATCATCTGCTAAATTCAAACCAGGGAACCATTTCTTCACAATGACAGGCTTCTTATCAAACTGAACGGGACCCATATCCATAGCTTTATCCCTTCCTTCAATAGTTTTGAATCAGATCAGGAACACCCCATTAGGTCTCATTGAAACCCTATCCACCCCTAATTTTCCCCAAATCCTTCGAGCAAACCCATTCATAGTATTATGGGGTGGTTTAAAGCTTAACACATAGCATACTAATGAAGAACTCCAAGAATCAATCTCTGGTTGCACATCATCAAAGGTAATGTGCAGTTTCCCAATCCCACTATCACCATTACTATACCCAACATTTTCCTTGTTTCTAACATCCCCTGATAGATTCAACCCTTCATCTACTACATTCTTGAACAAGTCATCTCTCCAAGTGGTTCTACATTCACCATTAGATGATGCAAATTGAAAAATGGGGTTTCGCAAAATAGGGGTTCATAAAACACAACCTCTTGGATCTGGGTTTTCGCAAATTGGGGAAAAACTATGTGTGACATTCCTAGAGCTCAAGGAAGCATCAACAATCATTAATGAAGTAGGATTAATGATGCTATTCCCAGAAAAATCACTATTATCAGTTCAATTAAGATCAACATCAATGGAGTTCGAGGAGTTATGGATAACCTGTAACCATTGATTAAGCTGCTCTCGGTGTTGCTCTCGAACTTCTTTGTTCACATCCTCAATCGGGATCTCTTCCACCATTGAAGAATCCGACCAGCTGTCCACTGAGATATCTTCCGAACCTACACTCTGTTCTCGCCCCTTTGTTCTTCTTACCCTTGGCCATGGCCCAACAGAGGTTTGAAGGGAAGAAAAATGGCGGGTTTCAAGCTTTCTCTCTCTAGGATTTTCTATCTCTAATAATAATAAGCTTTTTTTTTTTTTTTTTTTTTTTAGTCTTTTTCTTAGTGATTTTCACCATATCTAGCTGCTAGCTTAGTATAACTTGTTATTTTGGAAAAATAGAATAATTATATATACTTCCTTTTTTTTATAGTTGCAACACTTCTCTTTTCACGCTTGTCAATGTATGGTTTCAATCGTTAATATCTTTAACTACGAATATGTTAAATTATAAATATTTCATATTAAAATAGTACAAAACAAGACGAATTTAATAATATTCCACATAACTATATTTTCGGTATAAATCATCAAATCTAGTCAAAGTGAGCCATATGAATAGGGTAAAAGTCAAACTGTTACAACTATAAAGAAACGGGAGAAGTAGTTTGTAGATTATTGCAGATGTGAAGCAATTAAGCTTAGATGATCTCCCTTTTATAACTCACGTACAACTCTCAATAATGCAATACCTACTACGTACCAATTATCAATAAATTTTTAAAAGATAGTCGTGTTTTTGCAACCAAACGTGATTGTCAACATGATTTCATTATTGATTTGAAAAGAAATGAAATGCATAATTACTAGCAAGTAGCAATTACTGTATATATTACAATGTTGATTGTACTAGGATTGTAGGATTATAATACTCAATTTTAATGTAATATTGGTTTGATGATCTTTTTATAACGTACAATTCTCAATAATACAATCACTGCTTCCAAAAATGCATTTTGAATGTATAGTTATGTTTTGCAACAAAACGAGACTGTATGTCAACTTGATTGCATTATTTTATTATAGGAATAGTTATATTTTATTGTTATACTAATACTATAATACCCAATTTCAATATTTAGCTAAGAGTGTAGGGACGTCATTCACATGCATAATTAGCAACCACTTTTGTATTATCATGTGATAATCAGTAACTAATTTATATGCAATGTCAAATTTGGTGTGCAAAGGGGTTAGTAATAAGGAACGAAGCTAAGGGAAATGAGCATTATGATCTCATTATACACATAAATTGTATCAAAAAATTGAATCATATATATCATGTGATCAATAATCAATAATGCTTATGTACTATTATATGCAATAAATTGTATCAAAAAATGTGTCTGATGTGCTCGAGGGGATGGAGCAAGAAAAGAGAGGTGGAGAAGAACAAGAAGTCCATTTTAATGAAGAGGAACCTAGTCCCACTTTTAAATGTAGTCCTACTGAACCTCCACCATTAGCAACACGATCTACTACCAAAACAAAGAAAGTAAGGACGAAAACCATTGAAGCCTTGAAGAAATTTCGAACAAGTTTGCAAAAATTAGTGACGTGATGTAGAGGTGAAACTAATACGGTTTAAAACCGAATTGAACCGCAAATCAAACCAAATTAGTAACGTGATTCGGATTTTTTCTTAATATGATTCGGTGCGATTTGAGAAATTAAAAAAAATTGCGGTTTGCAGTTTGTTTTGGTTTTAGGATTTGAAAAACCGAAAAACCAAAACTCAAATTGAAGTATAGGCCCATATTTAAATGGAAAAATTAATGGGAATAATCCCACCTTTGGATTATTTTTAAATAATCCCACCTTTGGGCCCCGATCTTTTTTAATGGTCCCAACCGGTCAAGTAAGTTGTTATAATAATTTACCTGACACGTGGCGACATGTGATTGATAAAAAAATTAATAATTAAAAAATAATAATAAAAAAAAACAGAATAAAATACTCCCAGCCACCACTACTATAAATAAGCCGATTTCCGACGGACACGTATTTACGTCGAAAAAATTAGAAATTCCGATGAATTTTTATTCCGCAGGAAATCCGTCGGCAATTTCCGAAGGAATATAAATCTGTCAGAAAATATGGGCTTTCCAACGGAATATTCCGTCGCAATAGAAATTTCCGACGGAAATAAAATCTGTTGGAATTTTATGACGAAAATAAAATCCGTCGGAAATTTCCGACAAAATATTTAATTTTCCTGCTGGAATATGCCGTCGAAATGTAATTATATAATAAAAAAAAAACCATTAAAACCCTAAACAATCGCCCCTCCCCCTTTATTTCATCAGTTCTCTTTCTCTCTCCTTCTACTGATTCTCTCTCCTCCTCCTTTCTCATTTCATCTTTTCTCTCTCCTCCTCCTTCTCTTCCTCTCTCCTTCTTCTTCTCTTCCTCTACGCCCCTTCTCTTCTTTTTCTCTCCTTCTCCTTCTCTTCTTCTACGCCCCTTTTCCTCTCTCGTTCTTCTTCTCTTTCCGTCATTTTCACCGACATCGACAACAACAAACACCACCATTTTCATGGTCATTTTCGCCATCAACAACAAACACCACCATTTTTGCCATCAACATCAACAACTCAAGGTTTTCAAGTCAAATTCGACCATGAAAACTCTAGATCTAGAGTTTTCACGGTCGAATTTGGCCTCATAAACCCAATTTCGAGGTTTTGTGTGGTTGAATTAAGGTATGATCTTGTTTTTTTTTTTGTAATTAATTTTGTTGTTTTTTAGGTTTTTTTTTAAAAAAATTTATGGTGGTGGTGGTGGATGTTGGAGTTCGGATTTTGGTGGTTGGGTTGGCGAGGTTGTGGTGGGTAGATCCGGGTTTTGGTTGGAATTTTTTTATTTTTTTTTTGGTGGTTTCGGTGGTGGTTTGGGAGGGTGTGGAATGGCGAGGTGGGTGGTGGTGGTTTGTAGATCTGGTGAGGTGAGTGGTGGTTTCGGTGGTGGTATTTGGGTGGTGGGGAGGGGATACGGGTTAGGGTTAGGGTGGTGAGGAGGGGATACAAGTTAGGCTTAGGGTGGTGGGTGGGTTTTTCGATTGGACATGGTGGTGGTGGGTGGTGTGGGAAAAGGGGTTGGACGTGGTGGTGGTAGGTGGTGTGGGCCGGTGGTATGGGATAGGGGGGCTTGTGGCTGGTGGTGTGGCCGGGCTGGTGGTGGTGGGTGGTGGGAGCTATTTTTTTTGTTTTTTTTTTATTCGCTTTTCCGACGGAAATTTCCGTCGGAATATACCTCTTCCGACGATATATTTTTCGTCGGAAAATTGCGACGGAATCTCAATTAAAGTAAAAAAAAGCGCCGACAGAAATAAATTCGTCGGAAATTCCATCGGAAACTAGCCTTCCGACGGAAATTCTGTCGGAAAAGGTCGAATTTCCTACGAAGGGTTTTGCGACAGAACATTCCGACGAAATTCCGTCGGAAGACCAATTTCCGACGGAATTTCGATTGATTCCGACGGATTATTTCCGTTGGAATCAAGTTGTTTTCTGGTAGTGCACCCCTGTTATTTCCTCTTTCCCCTGCCCTTACCCTCTTTCTCACCTCCATGAATTCCGACATACTCCCAGCCACCCCAGCCACCTTCACCGCCCTTCCCAACTTCCCTAGCCACCCCAACCACGACCACCCACCCTCATTCTTCACCTCCACCCGAAACCCAACCACCCCTCTACTCGACCCCAACCACCGCTAATTTACCACCTTTCTACCCCACTCGAAACACCCGAAAATCACCTATAATCGTAAACCATAAACAACAAAAACCCACCCACCACATACACGCTCACTCCCACACCCACACCCACTCAACCCGAAAACATGCGAAACCCAACCAAGAGCAACCCACCCACGCCCCAAAACACAGAAGTCATCCCATATAGCTTGAAACTCACTAGATCTGAACCATCCCTTTTTTTTTTAAAAAAAAAAAGAAAGAGATGAAGAAAGAGGAACATGAAACCGGTGGTAGATTGAATGAGCTTGATTTGGGGATTTTAAACTCAATATCATCTGAGCTTTTTTCCTTCATCTCTTTGCTAAGTGTTTCCGGTTTCTAGCGTTTCGACGAGGGTGGATTAATTGTTGTTGCTAGCTGATGGCGAGGTGGAGAGAGAGAGCAGCAACAGGGTTTGGAAGTGGCGGTAATGGGGCTGCTGCTGTCTTGAGGTTGTGCGTGAGAAGGTGTGGCTGATTGGTGGTTGTTTGTTGCAGGTTGGTGGCTGATTGGTTGCGCAGGGTGGAGGTGCGTGGGCTGAGAGAGGAGGTGTGGTGTTTTGTGTGGTGGCTGCATTGGTTGGAGTTGCGAGGATTTTCAAGTGTTGGCCGGAAAGAGTGGGAAAGGAGACTAGTTGGCCGGAAAATGGGAATTGAGGCTACCGGAATCCATGGGGGACTTGGTTGTGGCTTAGGGGAAGGCGGGTCATGGGTTGTTAGGTTGCTGGTTTATTTTATTTTTTTAATTTTTTTTTGACCAATTAAGAAACTACACGTGTAAATTAAACTTTAAAAAAAAAAAAAATTTACATACCCAACCGATTTCAGGTAAAATGGGACCATTAAAAAAGAATGGAGGGTAAAGGTGGGATTATTTAAAAATAATCCAAAGGTAGGATTATTAAAAACGAACGGCCTAAAGGTGGGATTATTCCCATGAATTTTTCCTATTTAAATTATAACCCAAATTTGATTTTCAGCCTTACAATATAAGGCCAAAAATAGGTTATGTTGAGTCAAACTAAAAAAAAGTTACAAATCAAAGCTCAAATCGGCCCCAAAAATTGTGCTGTTTTTTTTTTTTTTTTTTTTTTTTTTTTTTTTTTTTTTTATATATAAAAAAACCGAATTAAAAACATTGTGGTTTAGTTTGACCAAAAAATTATACGGTGCCATGCGGTTTGAAAAATCCCAAACCGAATTAATATCGTTTGGTTTTGGTTTGTGCTATAAACTAGACCATAAATCGAACTTTCACCCCTAACGTGATGGGAGGTGCAAGTGAACACATTGGTCGTCTTGCTAGTTGTTTTCAACACGAATCTAATTCTGCAGAAAGAAGAATGAAAGTGACAAGAGAAATCATGAAAATGGAATGATTATCTCCAAATGTGGTTCTCAAAGAAGATTTCTCTTAATCCTCTTCAGTCGATTTCTTTTTCAACCTTCCAGATGACTACAAATATGCTTATGTCCAAGGTTTGTTGATTTCCGATTAAAAGATATTTGTGTAAATATACTATGAAGAAGGAGAGAGTAGTACCTAAAAAGATAATATGTATTGCTCTGAAAGTTTCTTAATTAGTAGGAACTATTATTGTTATATTTTGTGATGATACACTAAATTACAACACTAATATATATATGTCGGTTAATTACTGTTGTTGCTGTGCCGATCATAATATTTTGTGCAGCTTACAGATTTAGAATAGCTAGAATAAATGTATATTTTTTGAAGGCTTGTAACTGACTATTAATTTTATGGCTTTCATCAAGTGTGTGTGTATATATATATATATATATATATATATATATATATATATATATATATATATAAGGGAATGAAGGAGAAAATATTTCATGGCTCTTCTTAAAAAAAACTATACTAGTTGATGCATGCAAGTAGAAATGTGATGTTTATTTTGCAGCTGATGTGGACTAGTGGAGCATGTAGTTTAATTTCCATATGATTGAGCTTTGATATAGTGGACTAGCTTAGTGGAGCATGAAGCAGCCATGAATGGATGCAAAGAACGTTATTAAACTCTTATTAAAGAAAGAAAGAAAAAAATGAATAAAAAAAGAATTAAGAATTGTTTGTTTGTGACAAGTTTCAAAAAATAAGGAATGTTTTATAATTTTGATAAAAGGTAGTTAAAGTTGTTAAAATTCATGGAAAATGTAGCAAGTGCACCAAACAAGATAGGAGAAGTAAAATCCTAGGAAGTTAAAATTTTCAAGTATCAACCAAACAACCTTTAGCCAATTTCTAGGAATTACATGAGGTAATTAAATTTTCATGTATTGCAAATTCCTATGGGAAATAACTTCCCATTGCAACCAAGCATTGACACAGTATGAAAAGGTGCAATGTTGGTTTAAAAGAAAGGAAAATACATCCTCTGTTGTTAAAAGATTGTCCTAAATCTCAATTTTTTTATTTTTTTTCAGTAGAAAATGCAAAAAATATCAATTACATTTTTTTTTCTTTCAAGAAGCAAGTGCAATAAAAGTGTTGGAAATTACTGAGTGAAATACAAAGAAATTAAAGAAGAGTAAAAATGAAAAGTGAGAAAGTCCCGTATAAGAAGAATACCAAGCTTGCTCCTTATTTGTTACTTGAGTGGTTTACTATTATTTGTTAGAGAAGTGGTAGGAGGGATTATGGACTATACACGTGCAGCGATGGTGGGCTGCAGAACAATATGAGTTGAGCCGAACGAGTTTTAATTAGGTTATAATCGGACGTGAACAAGCTTACAATTAAATGCAATTGACGAGCTTAATATTTTTTTTCAAACTTATTTGTTAACTTAATTGAGTTAACGTTTTTACTAAACTTGTTTGAGAAAAATTCATAAACGCATTAGATCATTTACACCCCTACACGAATACGCGGCGGCCAAGTCAAGCTCGAACTCTGTCTTAGAATTTTTGATTTTTTTAATTAATTATTGCACCATAGGGATTGAGCATAAGTGTTTGGTAGTTGAAAAAAGGATGAGAGAAAGAGGTAAAATATACAAAGTCGTCCATGTGATTGTAAAAATAAAATAAAAAGTCAAGTGTTGAAACGTAAATGTAGATTAGGCATATGCAATGTGAACATACATATTTATTTTCTTAGATATGTGTAATATTTGTGAAATTTCTTTAAAAGACAAGTGGTAAAATATTAAAAACAAACTGATGAAGTACAATTATTAGATTTTTCCTCCTATTATGATCCCTACTCATATTCGCTCACACACTTTTATTTTATTACTACCTTAGTTTCATATTGCAACAAAGAGTTTTGCACGAATTGCTAGCAAGCAAAATTTGTTAAGGTTTTTTAAGAAAGTGATTAAAGGGCATATGATTAAAAAATGTTCTTTGATGCGCATTATTATGAAAAATCATTTAAATTCTGTTTCGGTCAGAAAACAATGGACCTTCAGCAGGCCCTTCAGATGAGTGGAGATGAATCCCAATTTGAGTGATGACCGAATTGAGGATTTCCTGCACAGCCAAACACACGTAAACTGGCCTCGGGGGTTGTGCCGAGGAAGGCCCCTCCGATGCCGAAGTCAGTACGGATGCAAGATAATGAGAGAAAAGCTATGCAGGAGAGTTTGTTGTTTGAGGCATTTAATGTCTATCCATATAATTGTACAAGAATGAAAGCTTTTATACCTTGCTCCAATTAGATGGATTGGGCTTGAGGAATCAAATGGGCTGCCATTTGATTGGGCCTTGCTATACCTGACTTGGCAAATATGTAAAAGAGTGTTGAACCTTGCCTTTTGGGCTATAATTATTTTCATTGTGGACTGGGCCCAAATATAAGTTATTTGGACCCCAAACAACTTGCTCCCCAGACCCGATTCGTGAGGATAACGGGTCGGGTTTCAGCAGTTGAGGGATTTGGAGGGAAATAAATGAAAATAATTTGAATGTTTTTGAGAATTTGTACAGTTATAATAACCGTAAATGATAATTAATTAACCTTAATGACGGTTAACTAATGATAATGGGGAAGTGGAGTACACTTAGTGGAAAATCAATTCTGGTGGTTAGTAATTGGTTTGGGAAGAATTTGAAGAGTTCGTGAATTAAAATCAAGTTAGTGGGATTTTTTGCCAGGTATTTAACTTGCATTTGCATCATTATTTCCGGCATTCCCAAATTAAACACACTTCGCTATTTGCTTTCACTTCCCAGCGAACTCGCACAAATTCCCTTTTCTCTTTCACCAATTTCCGCATTTTCCGAAGCATTTCAGTGAAATTCGTTGCTCCGAACCACTAAATCGGCGAATTCCGAGTCAGATAGAGGTAATTTTCTCCGAATTTCATTCGGATTTCCCCTTTCTTTAAGCTATTCCCCTTTTTCTTGTCTTTTTCGCGTCGCCGCCGATTTTATAATGGCCTGTAACCTTGGAAAAAGACCACTGGAGTATGAGGACGAGGCTTCCGAGGAAGAAGTGCCGCAACTAGTTTTGAAGCGCAACCGTCCTCTGCCAATGATGTCGTTTCCGAGCGGCCGTAACCCTAATGCCCGAATCGAGGTCGGTTCGTCCTCGAGTGGCGAGGGATTACGGGTCATTCCTTTGAATAGTGCCCCTCCTAATGAACCAGTTGAAGCCAGTACTTCTGGCCGAAGGGTTTTCTCAAGGCCTCGGCCTTTGACCCCTGAAGAGAGGGAGTGGACCGATGAGCATGAGAATTCTGGTCTGCTGATGATCGAGCCATCCTCATGGTGGCTGGAAAATAATGCTCGGTACCGATTCGCCGAGCAGCTAGAAGTATATTACGACATAATGGAAGCCGATGGGTATTGGTGCCGAATGCCCACGGTGCTGGAGAGAATTTATCAGGCCCATCCTGGCTATATTGGGGTGTATGTTTGGCAGCTACAAAACGGGCTGCGGTTTCCAGTTCACCCATTCGTCATCAAAGTTCTGAATGGGTATAATATCTCTTTGGCTTAGCTGACCCCAGTTAGCATCAAGAGGGTCATGACCTATCTCTGGGTGTGCTTTTTCTATGGGCTAGAGCCGAGTGTCCATTGCTTTCGGTGCACACATAGGCTGTCGCCGAACACCTAGTCAAGCAAATGGCATGGCCAAGGCTGGTGGCACATAGAGGACGAGAAGGGTTACTTGACCTCCTATTCGAATGATACCTCGGACAAATTCTGGAGAGGTCAATGGATCTGGGTGCGAGAACCTTCGGACGAGGGCCACCCTAATTACTTCGGGGGGCCTCGCTACACTAGGAAGCCCGATCCATCCATGTCAAGCATCGGCGATGACGATTTCACCGAAGCGGATCGTCAGCAGATGGAGCTTTTTGGCCGATCCTCAAATCCTGGCGCAACTGGCCGAATGACAGTTGTGCCAATTATCTGGCTGCCATGCTGCCATTACATCTTCCAAGAGAAGATGTTAGCAGTTGTCGGCCTCAGCCGAAGATACCAAGGTGGTAAGTGATTCGGCTGGGGCCGAAGCTTTTACTTTTTTCTTTTTCAGTTTTTGCGGTCTGAAGCTTTTTATCTGAACTAATGTTTTGTTCTGACAATTTTTCAGCGATCTGCGAAGAGACTTCTGGTATCGACTACGAGGTGCTGGGGATCAACCAGACTAGAGAGCCGATCACCAATACCCCTCTTATCACCGCTAGAAAGGATCGGCCACTGACGCTGCAGGTGAGGAAGCTTGAAGTGGTCAGCGCTTTTGAGTACTTGGCGCAGAAGCCCTAATACAAGAAGCTTGACCCTTTCTTCCTGCATTCAGCAGAAGAGGAAGCTGCTGCTGCTGCTGCAGCTGCAGGAGGTGACGTTGCATATCAACCACCCCCTCTATCCGAGCCTCAGAGGGAGGAAGATTCAGAAGAAGAGAATACCGAAGAGTTATTCGGTCCTTCAGTAAGTTCCTGATTCTTTTGCGTTTCTTCCATAATTCGTATGAAATTTTCTAAGTATATAACTTCAGCGTTTTGCTTTCTTGGCTTGTGAAGCATTTTTCTGAGTACGTAGCCATGTAGTTTCAGCCCTTAGGTATGCATATTACACGTAGCCTTTCTTGAATTTGTATGAATATTTTGCTAAGTGTAGGTCTTCGGATGCATATCTGTCTGATGCAGTTTGTTTTGCCAAAACTGTTAAGTATGTGGCTTCGGCTGAAATATCTGCGTGCTTCTGCCTTGAGTTTTACTTGCTGTTGTTTTGTTTTGTTGTGTTTGTTTTTTTTTTGTTTCTTACTCGTCTTCCTGCCCCCTCTTTCTTTTCTTCTGCAGTCCGAAGGGGAAGAAGTTGAGAAAGAAGAAACTGCTCCCTCTTCCGAACCTACTGCCGAGGATATGGCTGGCGGGAGAAGAAGGCCTCTGGTTCGCCCTGGTCAATTCAAGGCGCCAGAGCTCCCTGTAAAAAGGCCTCGGCTGGAAGAGGTCCAAGAAGAAGCAGCTGAAGTCACTTCCCCCTCTCGTGAAGTTTTCATTGAAGTGGTCGATTTGCAGGCCGACCTTTCACCTCCTCGACACATATCTGAGCCATTTTCTGAGGAGGTTCGGCATGAGGTGGAAGTGTTAGGTATCCGAACTGAGGATCCTAAACTTGCTGAGAAGGAGAACGAGCCTGAGCTGACTGATGGTGACGTGCCTACACATAAAGATGT